ATTTAAGGTATAATTGAAATTTATTTTATTTATTAATTTAATAATGATAATTATATAAATTATTATTTTATTATTAATTTTATTATTAATTATATTATATTTTTTAATAGGCACAATATAGAAAATTACTTATAAAAAATCATATAGAAGCATATGATATAGCACAAGAATTAAATAAGACTCCTAATTCACTTAACATTCTTGATGCAATCTTATTTACTGCTGATACATGGAAGGCTGTTACTACACAAACAATTTATAATTGTTGGCGAAAAACTGATATTCTTCCTAAATTAGATGAGGATTTAAACTTTGAAAATGGAATAGATGATATTAATACTTATCTTGATTTTGAACGGGTTGATGAATTATATAATATACAAAAATTAATTGATCATCTTGAATTTGAAGATCTGATGATTGCACAAGAATTTGCTATTATAGACGATAATATTATTCTTAAAACTTTAACTGATGAAGATATTATATAATCAGTACAGCCTACACAAAATAATAATGAAAAAAATGAAGAAATAGTACCTATTCAACCTATTTCTTCTATGATAGCATTATCAGCTTTAGATAATATTTTAAGTTTTTTGATTAATCCACCTGATGGATTTGCTGTTGAATTAAAAAATCTTATGGAAATTCATTCTTTATGAAGTCAAGTAATGCTACATAATTTTAATAGTAAAAAGCAAGTTAGTTTAAAACAATTTATGAATTATAATAGTAATAATAATATTTGACTTGATAATATATTATAGTATCGAATTATAAAACTTGTTTTGTATTAATTTATATATATTGATTTATATATTTTTCTTTTATTATATTATTAAATAAAGATAATTTGATACAATAATATTTTGATATACCAATATTTTTTAGATAAAACAAAAATATCATTATATCCAGCTTTGACTGTATGTAGGATTTTTGCATGAAGGAACTATTCCCTCCCATACAGTCATATGTTTTAAAGAGCTGTGTTGCTTAGCGGAATCATGTTCTCTTTCTAAGAATACTATATCTTCATGAGGAGGTTTAACTTCTATTTCTTCACCATTTTCTTTATAAATTGATCAGAAATGCTTGCCAGTTGCATACTTCTTTTCTGCTTCATATTCTTGCCTTTTAGCTAATGAAAGATTTTCTATTATTTGCAACCTATTCTTTTCTTCTTCTTCTTTTATCTCAGGATCACCTCCTTGATCTTTGTCTTGCGGAATAGACTCAGGTTTCTTTCTTCTTCGATCCTTTCCTTAGTCTTTGACCTGTAAATTGGGGTCTTATACCGTTAAAGATAGATGACATTGGTTTTTTGTACTTGCATAATGCTGACGAAGCTTTTGTGATATAGCTAAAACTTTTTACAGCAAATACATTTACGATTTTTTTTATCTGCTCTTGTCATGATACTAACTTAAGTCTAACCTCAAATATATCATGTAAACTTTTACTCAATTTAAAATATTTAATTACTTTTTTTTGAATTTATAAAAAATAGGGCTAAGAAGCGCTGGCTGTGTTCTGTTTGTAGTAGACCTACAAAGATAGATAAACCTATAGGGGTAGATAATGACCTATGTAGCTATTGTAATAAGAGCTAATATCAGATCCGTCATGTAAACAAGCTTCAGGATAAAGCTCAGATGTATGATCAGTATACTTTAACCTGCGAACCAAAAGTCTAACCTCTGATTCGTAAGTCTAACCTCTTACCCTGAAGTTTAACCTTATTTTGACCTTATGTTTGTGTAAATAGATCAGTTCTAGAAAGGTTTCTAGCATATTATAAATTTGTATATGGTGGGAATATATTATTTTTTCGTCTAGAAAGCTTTTTTGATAGATACTAAGTCTAACCTTTGATTCACAAAATCTAACCTCTAACCCAGAAGTCTAACCTCTAATATATTTTTTTGTCTCTAGTATTTTGTGAAGATTTAGCTCTAGAATGGTTTCCTGTGTATCAGAAAAACTAAGTATATAAAAAATAATTCCTTAGCTCTTAGAACTGTAACTTGGTAACAGCTAAATCTAACCTCTTCGAGGTTAGACTTAGTATTTTGGTACCTAGAGGTTAGACTTTAAGATTTTTGGTTAGACTTAGTGATCCTTTATTTATGACTATGAATCAACTTTAGAATTAATTCTAGGATATCGTAAAAAATAGTATGCATCTTTGGCTTAACAAGGTCGTAGTCTCGAATATTTCATCACTTCGTTCCTTAATATTTGAGTTTACTCTCAAAGGCAAGCAGTATAGTATAAATATTAGTATACATAAAAGATTTGCAAAGACTTTACGAGCTTAGCTTCGAACTTTTGATTCTTGCCAATCTCACATCATCTCAAACCCAAACAGAATGGTATAATTTTTTTGATATTTAGATTGGATTTAAAATTGCACTATAAAGATTATAACAATTTGGTTGATTTTATCTTCTGAAGCATAAATTTTATAGCAAGGAGTATGAACATGAAATTGTGCGCTGGTAAAGTTTTTAGACCTGAATTCTATATCATAGATTCATAATGCTAAAAGGGTTTCTGGTCAATGCTTGAAAGGTTTCTGAATACCTTTTCGAATTCTAACCCTAGAACCCTTATTTTTGTACTACTACTATATTACTTGAATTTAAACAGTTAAAAGAAATGGAAAAAGTTCAAGTATTAATCAATAAACTAGATTTTGATAATTCTTTTTTTACTAAAGAATTTGTTAAGTATAATAAGTCTAAAACTACAAGAAAAATAATATCTGATGAAGAAATTTTAAAAGTAATTTTATCTAATCAAGAAAATTAAAGAGAGAAAGATTTTTTATTACTAATAATTATTTCTAAAGAAGTTATTGAGGTTTATAATAAAGTAATTTTATATTTAGAGTTACAAGAAAAACTTTTGATATGAAAAAAGAAGAATTAAGGTTTATTAAAAAGCTTAGAAAAGAAACTTTAAAATAACAGTTTGTCTCTTTTAAACAAACTAATTTTAATAATTTTATTACTATAATTGAATAGTAATTTAGAGGGTTACATAATAACATTTAATAATATTTACAGTTTTTTATTTACTTTTTACAAAATAAAATGATATCATAATTACAAGAAATTTTAATGTATTAATTAAATAATACCCATATGATCTTATAAAATTTTGTTGAAATTTTATTAAAATTTTGTTGAGAAATCATATTATTTTTTATTAATTTTTGTTCAATTTTTTGTTGAACTTGTATTAAAATTACCTATTAATTTTTACTAAATTATAACGAATAATTTTATAATAATTTTTAAGCTAATAATTTATTATTATAGATCTACTTTAATTGTTTGATATATTATATTTATTAAATTTGCATAAGTTATTTTTGGATTGATCTAATTTTTATAAATAATATAATATACAATTATAATATAATGCTTAGATTATTATTTTAACTTTTTGTTTTTAATACAAATCAGAATTTTAATCACAAAAGTTCTTATTATAGAGGGTAGACAAAAGTATTCATATACCTTCTATAAATGTAAATTAATGCTAGTAAATTTATATAATTGCAATAACAAATTACGTTTACATGATACTTAA